CCCTAGTTAGTGTTGCTCTCTCATGGGACATAAATTCCAGGGTGTATGGTTGTTCCAGATCTGAATGCCCAAGGATCTTCTGTCCCTCTGTATTTCCTCAAGCCCCTGAGACTTGTTCATTTCTCTGAGTGACTTCTCTGTGAAAGAGAATCCAGCTAGTCTTGCTAGAAGCCTGACATTTTATTTAAGTTTTAATGATTTTCTTAAGATTGTTCCTACCGGTGAAAGACATTTTCTTTCCTAAAATGACAGGAGGCACACACTCCCTGACACACAGACTCTCCCTCGTGTAATGTATGCAGATGCACATGCACACAGGCATGCTGGCTCACTCACTGGGGAGCACACTTGTATATACAGACACATGCAAACGCAGGGTGGAGAGTCCGAGGTTTCCCTCTGTGATATGCGCCCTGCCCTGCTTTCTCCCTCTCTTGATTGCTCTGTCCTGGCTTCAGCAGTGCAGCAGCAGTAAAGAAGGCCTTCCTAGGTAGCCCATCAATTCTAAGGCTGAGACTCGGTACCACTAGCTTGAGGCTTGCCTCTCCCCCGGGCCCAGGACAGGTTCCTTGCTGCCTTTTTTCTAGGCCCCAAGGTCAGGGTGAACTGCAGTCTATGACCCAGTGCGTCAGAGGTCGGGGACATGGTGAGTGGTCCTGCCTGGCCGGAGAGCCTGAAACCAATTCCACCCAAGTTCAAGGAGGCAAGTGGCGGCTAGGCCCTATGGTTAAGATTCCCAAAAATGGGTTTAGGGAAGCTAGAGCCCGATTCTGCTCTGCCTCCCTCTCCGCAAACTTATTTCTAAGGGCTCTGACGTCGCGGTTGTGGCTAAAACTTGGCTTTTCAGCGGTTTTCCTGTGGGGACTCAAGTCTCCCGGTGTCCTCGAGTTCTGGGATGTGCACCACTGGCTGAGAGATAAAGGAGGAAGAAATGGCAAAAGAAAAGAAGAGGGCTTGGGGTGGAGCGATCCAAGAGCTCCCTCCAGGTCTACTCAAAATTTCGAAATCACTTTGAACTCCCGGCAGAAAAGGAGCAAGATCTCCTAGAAAGGAACTAGAAAGGAACAAGATCTCCACCACAAAGCAGGTTTCGTGTGGAAATCGCATTTGTCCCTAGCTCTTTTTCCGGAACCAGTAGTCGCCCCCCCCACCGGCTTAGGAGAAAAGGCTCCAATCAAATCCAACCCCTAGGCCACAGCGACTCCTTGGGTTCGAGTCCGATAGGGGACTTGGAAAAGAAACGGTCTCTCCTCCGGGTCTCCGAAAGCAGGAGTCCGGTGCCGGGTGCTTTGTCCCTGCAGGCAGCTAAAGCGGGCTTCAGCGAGCATCACCGGCCCTTTCCCAGGGAGCTTCAGGCACAACAACCTCCAGCCTCTCCTCCCCACCTTTCACGCCAACGCTCCAGATCTCACCCCTCCACCCCACCACCATTTTTGCAGTTGGTGTCTCTGCTCCCGCCAGGGCCAACAGAAACAGGATTTGCACTTTTTAAAAAAAACCTAGTTTCTGCCGAGACACTTCTAGAATTTAGGTCCGGATTGCTCCAGAACAGGCAAACTTTCTTTTGCAAATACAAAACTACTCTTCCCAGCTAAAAGCGCTTCTCCAGGTTTTAAAAGAGGCCTCCTCCTGGGCTATTCCTAGTTCTTTCAGATCCTGAGGCGACAGCCCCGGGGAGGCCGGCACGTGCCCCCGGGCACCTCCTGCTAGGTTCCTACTGGTCTGGTGCTGTCCAGGCTTGAAGGGATTGCGAGTTTCCAGAGCTACTGGTCTCAGTGGCCACGCTACTTCCAGAAGCACACTACTGAAATCTTATAGATAAGTCACAAGAAATGGGCAGCAAGAAATTGCAAAATATGAACAGTGGAGAAAACCAAAGCAAACCAATAACTTGTCAAGTATGTTATACCAAAGACTAAGCATGATATAAGTATGAATTTCATTCTATTTACTACTTTCCTATTTTATTTACTCTTTAAATCAAACACTTTATTATGAATTGTAACAAAAATTGTGTTGAAGCTACAACTCGAGTTGCTGTTTCATTTTGAATATGCAGAAACAGACTGGCTCTACCTGAGAAAGAGTGGTACATTGTTAGATTAAAAGGAATATGAAGTTAAATCACAGTTAAATTTTTTAAAAACTACAATTGTCTCTTAAAACTGTATTCATCAAAAAGTTTTAAGGCGTTATAGAGATAAACCTATATCATTGACGACATACAGAATTAAAATTCTGTGACCTACGTGTTAAAATATCTACCACTCTGAAGGAAAACGGAACCTCCAGAAAGGGCTTGCTTTTCCTGGCAAGCAGTCGTGAGGGACTGAGCAATAATGTAACTTTTTGTCCTTAAATATAAAGGATTTAAATATTTTTAAAATGCGTCTACTCTAAGAAAAAGTCGCTGAATAAAATTTAAATCTGGTGCCGCGCTCCACATAGAATGGGCGCTATTAAACGCTGGCGCGGGAATGTTTAAATGAGAAATGACCTAGGTGAACGTGGTAATTTTGAATGCTCTCAAGCTTCTAAAATATGCTGAGCTTGTAGCAACATTAAGTGATAAGGGTGTGAAACAGGGATTTAAGATTCCTTGAAAGATTCTTGATGTGCTAACTTGGAGAATTTCTCTGTTTAAAGCCAGGAGCCTCCGCATTTCCAGGTTCTGGTTTGAAAAGTTGGGAGACTGGGGGCTGGACTGAGTTTAGGAGCGAGAGAGAGTTCAGCAAGCACGGGCTGGCGCGACCAAGCCAGATGGCGGCGCTTTTCACTCCGAGTTTTTTGAGACCTTGTAAGGAAATGGGCGAGGGTTGTGCACAATTGGCGCCTCCTGATTGGTCATCCGTCTCAGTGATTGACAGACTCCTGGGCTCAGCCCTCCGCCGCTTTATTGACGCCAATGCGCAAGTTCTTCCCACCACTCTCCTGCCTGGAAGTGCTGACAGATCGAGGCAACAAATTTCAAATACAATCCCTAATTTGTGTCCGCAGAGTGTTTTTTACCCATGTTAGTCCTCTCTGGCGCATTAGTTGAGGCAGATCTTGGAGCAACAGGAGGAGGTGGAGGGGGTGGGAGAGAAGGAGTGCATCAGTGATCAGAGAGAGAGAGAGAGAGAGAGAGAGACCGAGGGAAGGAAAGTTGGCCGTCGCGTCGTCGCCGGTTCCTCGGATCCCAACCCAAGCGAGAAAGAGAAAACGCCAAATTTGTTTTTTGCCCGCTGCTGGGAAGGGGGGAGATTTGGCACCGAGAACTGTTCGGTTTTGGGGTAGGGCTTCCGAGGAAAGCGAGTGCGTGCGTGTGCCCGCGCGAGTGTATATGAAAGAGGGGCGGGCGGGCGCCGGCGGCGGGGATGGCCGAGAAGCGGAGGGGCTCGCCCTGCAGCATGCTCAGCCTCAAGGCGCACGCTTTCTCCGTGGAGGCGCTGATCGGCGCCGAGAAGCAGCAACAGCTT